TATATATATATATATTCTCATTTTTCTTTTTATATTTTTCTTTTTATTGTATATTGTATATAAATTATTTGTTTTGTTTTAATGAAATTAATATATTGAAAATTGAAATTGAATTGACTTTGTCTACGTACACAGGGCTGAATGGCACGCAGGTGAGTTTGGTTCAGTATGGAGACACCAACACAGTTGAGTTTACATGGAAGAACCAGCAGAGCAAGTCAAGCCTCCTGCAGCTGGTGGAGAACATCCCGAGCAGGGCCTCGGCAGCCCCGGCCCTGGGTAGTCAACGTCAAACCATCATGCACACACATCAAAGGAGACGCACACGCTCACCACGGTTTGTCTGCAGGTTCTGCGCTGAGATTCGCCTTGCAGACGTCCATCTCACCTGCCAGCGGTGGAAGAGTTGGCGTGCCCAAGGCCGTGGTGATGATGGTGACCGATAAGTCTACCGATGACGTCAAAGAGGCAGCTAACGAGGCGCTGGCAGCAGGTAACTGAGCAGTCGTTAAAAAAGGTAACAGTTAAAAGCTGCTTTTTAACCTTCGTTCATGGCTTTTCCTCTCAGGTGTGTCAGTGTTCCCCATTGGAGTCGGATCAGTTTACGACTCGAGTGAGCTTAGCGTACTAGGTCGCCATGGAAACCAAGACAACACTCTGCATCTGAAGGACATGGATCAGCTGCGGATATTTCTGACTTTGGACAGCAGCTACACAGAGAAAATCTGCAGAGGTGCTTGCAGACACAGGCCTGTTCTCAGTTGTTATTTTATGCAAACAGAGGAAACTTTCGATAATGATGACAAGTGATGCAAAATATTCCTCCTTTGCATTTAGCCGGTCCACCAGGAGTTTGCGTGGATGACTACGGGAACGAGAGGAACGTGAGTTATGGCCACAGTCTTTTACATTTACGATAGAATCATTTTGAAATTGTGCCACGGTTCGTGTGTTCCAGCCCGGTGAATCGTGGCTGCTGGCGGACGGCTGCCACTCCGTCCTGTGTTACCCCAGTGGAGCGGTGATGGTGCAGAATCACAAAGTCACCTGTGACAAAATGGAGCCACCGGTGTGCAGTAACAACATGCAGCCCGTCAGAGTCGAGGAGGCCTGCGGCTGCCACTGGGAGTGTCCCTGTATGTACATCAAACAGGCTCTGGAGTAAACTTAAACTCATCTATAAAAAGTGCACTTCACAGCCCACCTGTTGCATTCCACTCTAATAATAGATCCTGTTCCTGGCTCTATTCATCCTTCCTGTGTTGTGTTTACTGGCAGGCATGTGTGTGGGCAGCTCCACCAACCATTTGGTGAGGTTCGACGGCTTGACACTCAGGCTGGACGGGGAGGGATTGTGCTCCTACACACTTTTCACCATCAGCAAAAGCATCAGTCAAAGCTCAGAGGTCAAGCTCCACACTGGACCTTGTCAAGACTCAGCGAATTATAACCACATCTGCATGAAGTCCATGGAGGTGACACATGGACGGTACAGGCTGATGCTGAAGGATGATATGACGGTAAAATCTGTCTTATTAGTCAATCAGAGTGTATAAAACTGTTAATTTAACTGCGGCTGTGTGTGTTTCCTGAGCAGGCAGTGATCGATCAGGAAGAGCTTGCTTTGCCGTGGCGGTTCGGTGGTATGGAGCTGGTGCGCTACGGCGGAGTCATGCTGCAGCTGAAGTCAGACCTTGGCTATGTTTTGACTTTTACCCCTCAAAGCAACGAGTTTACGATCTCGTTGCTCAGCTCAGCTGCCAGCGGTCACACTGCAGGACTCTGCGGTAACACAAACACGGCGGCGTTTGCTCAAACCTATCAAAAAGACGTCAAAAGTGACAAGTGTCTCTACCTGTCCCTGTTGGTTTTGGCCTGTTGTCCCTTGAGTTGTATTCTCTATACCTTTCTCACAGGTGCTTGTGGGCAGGAGAAGGAAAAAATCCTCTCTTTACGTAACAGCAGCACAACCACCAACCAGCCGGCCTTCGTCTCCGACTGGAGTAAGGCTGCAGACGGTGGTGTGTGTCTGCCCAAAGGGAAGGCAGTGTGTATATCTGGAGTGGCGATGGGATGTCAGGCCCTACGTTCTGAGGTGTTTGAGCCATGCCACGCCCACATTGCCGTCCAGCTGTTCCTCATCCTGTGTGAGGAGCAGGCGTGTGAGGAGTCAGATGTGTGTGAGGTCATTTCCGCTTACGCACGCGCCTGCAGACAGAGGGGCGTGTGTGTGGACTGGAGGAGCCCCCACCTCTGTCGTAAGTCACCGTCTGCATCTGTCATTTCAGAAGGAATGTCATATTAAAAGAATTTAGATCTTAACCTCATCGTTGTGTGTCGCAGCGTTCAAATGTCCAGAATCCAGGGAGTATGAAGCATGTCGGACGGGGTGCGTTGATGGCTGCAACAGCATTCAGGCCTTACCAGGCGACTGGGCGATTGCCAGGGCTAACGAGTCATCCTGTTTGGACACGCCTACCGAAGGCTGTTTCTGTGCCGGAGGGACACTCCTGCATCATGGACAGTGCGTCTCACCAGAAGCATGTGGGCAGTGTGTCGACCATCGAGGACACACTTTTAGAGTGAGAGAAGAAACTCCCTCGTGTCTGAGTTGTGAAGGAATGATGCAAAATCTGAAACACATGACTGAGAACATAATTACAGTTGGAGTTTTGCAACAAAATGAGATGCGACTGCCCTCTGGTGTTTAATTCTGTGCCTCTCTTTGTACAGTATATGCAGAGTTGGGTGCCAGATGACAACCCATGTTCGATTTGTATGTGTCTGGACCAAGAACGCATCAACTGCACTGCCAGGCCCTGCAATGACATAAAAGGTTGGCGCATATATGTATATA